ACACAGGTTTATGGGCCAATAGTCTTATGAGATGTATAAGAGAAATTTGGGAATCAGTTATGTTATGAAAAAAACAACTTAATAGACTATATGAAATGTTTGAAGAGAATCTAATTAAAAAGAATCAAAATTACCTACATTTTTATGTATTCTGTGAGAATTATAAAATTAAAAATTGCTAAATGTAAAATTATTTCCTTGAAAATAAATAAAAATTCTAGTAGCATTTAGAAGACTATTTAATTACAATTACTAATAGCTGTCAATTGTCCATTTGAATTAAATATTAATATGGATGATAACCACCGTTTGATTCATGTTAAAGGTAATATTTTATTAAAGTCTTGGTAATTATTTTCAAGGATGACTTATGAACATTTTTTCTTTTTACTAGAGAGAGATGTTTGTTCATGTAACACAAAAGTAGAGGGAAACAGTAGCTGAGTTTTCCTGGATTCTTGCCAGGAACTGATGCTTAGCTTTAAGTTACTCAAAGCAGCACTAAACTTTAATTCTAGTTGATAAGCTATACAGTAGGAACAGAAGTAGAACTGAAATAAATGAGGGCATAAAAACATACAGAAAATCTTAAAATAGCAATACCAGAGTTACACATATGTAAAAACAATGGAGCAGAAAAGGTCCTTATAATGAAAACTCCTACAATAAATTGTTTATGACCACTAAGCCCTTTTAGATGAAACCTTCTGTCAAGGTTCCCCCAAATGGCTTCATGACTGGTAAGTAGCCATGTCAATTCTGAACGAAAAGGATAGAGAGGTAAAGAAGAAATGCAGCAATAAAAGAGGAAAAGACTATGCTGATAATGTGATTTTATAAAAGGTCTCTCTGATTCAGAAATTTCTTGATGCCCCATCAAGAGTTTGAGCTTATTCTTTCATGCCCTCCAACTATTCAGGGGCTGCTAAGGACAGAGCTAAACCTACGTCTAGAATGATTACATAATGATGTATACTAGAAAAAATTAAAAGGCAGGAAATGTATGCTGGCAGTGTCAACTATTATATTTATATATAGCAAATTAATGCTTAGGTTTGTAAGGTTTTCATGGGGAGAAGGAGTGGAGGGGATGAAGAGAGAAAAGACAGGATAGAACTTGCTTGTAGTGGTTGTCCAAGAACCATCATAAACATCACCTCGGACTGGTTAGAAGCATAAAATGACAGGCACCACCCAAACCTTCTAAATCAGAATATCCATCTCAGTAAGATCCCCAAGAGATTCACTTACACATTAAGAGTGGAGAGCCACTGGGTGGGAAGATGTC